CATGTCTCATACAGGATAAAGCAATCAAATCGTCGTTTGTAAATGCGTTTTCATTCTCGTTGTCTTCAACTATCGATGAAATTTTGTGCGTAATAGTATGATCATGGTGAGTAGCAGTGGTATCGAGAATAACCACATTATCTTCACGAACAATCTTAATTGTATCCCAAATATCATTTATATTACGAGTCTCTTCATTTGAAACTTCGTGTTCACCCTCGTGGACATTCTTCCCCAAAAAAATTACGCAAATAGGAGACGACTTTCGACTTTAGTTCAATTTAATTAGATGTTTCATTTCCACTTCAGAAGTAACTTTCATAGGTGGAATCGGAATGGTTGAATGCTTATGAAACAAAAATCTCAATTTCATATCGTACTGATAGGAATCGACGTTAAGTATGTTTTGTAAATCATGGTACATTTCTACAAACGATATACTCCTTGCTATAAAAATTGCTTTAACCCCATCTCGTTCACTTGTCAATTTCCATTCTCACTGAGTATTTTCATTCATTTGAAATTCACCTAAATAACAAATTGAGACACATGCTGATATCATATCTGCCACAAATTAAAAATATTAGAAAATAGATTAAATATAAGGAATTAATATATAATTTTTTAAATTGTTCATTTCATATTTAATTTAATTTTATACTTAAAATAATTCATTGATTATTTAATTGTTTCAAAACTATTTATTTCAATTAGTATTAAATATTTATTAATATTTACTTCAATAAACATTATACATTTAAATATGAACAAATAAATTATAAAATCTGAAATTAAAAAAAAAAAGTGGTCGGAACAGTCGGCTGTTTCTGATCGGCCCGAATATCTCCAGCCGACCCAAATTTTCGAGACGGTTGTTTTCAGCCAGCCCTTACGTCTGGACTGGTTGGAATTTTTTTTCTTTTTTCAATGAAATAATATTTAAATATTTATTTTACAGACAATTATGAATTTTTCTTGTAAAATATATGCATACAGAGTTGAATTTTTTTTCGTTTTTGCTATAAAAAATTATACATCTGTATTTAATACTGTAATAATTCATCTGCCTTTGTCAAAATAAGATTTAAATATTCAAACAGTATACTAATTTAACTAAAACGAAATTAAAAATACGTATTTACACTTACCAATTTTCAGTTCCGACTGTGAGTAATAATTTTTTGTTGAACTTTTGATAATTTTGTGAGATTTCAATACTCTAGCAGATGGAGAAGAAAATTTCTTTTTAACTGTATTGGAAAAACTGATAAACAAAATTGATTTTGAAATTTACGTGTGGAAGTGATTGAATTTATTTAAACTTTTAAGGGTATTATTGTCTTTCAAAGAATTAACATATTTTTGTAATTGTGGAACATAATAAAGACACAATTGTCTTTTTCAACACAAGAGGCCAATGTGGTGAATGCAAAAAAAATAAAAAATAAAAAAAATGGTCAAAGTGCAAAACTTGTTCTTTGACTCAGCCAATTTGAAAAGTACCCCATAATTGCAAACCTTATGAATTAAAAAATTTAAAATTACAAATAGTAAATTTACATATGTAAATACTAAAGATGACGTTCTCTGCCCAACATGAATTGCAGGACATGACTAAATACACTTGCTAGTACAAATTATACACACATTAGTATGGAATCATTCAATCAAAATAAGCAAGTTGGCGGATCAATTCTTCAATTTGGGGACTTTAAATGAGGACGTAAACAATTTGGGAGTATCTGGGATGGTGATCACATCAGCTTTTCTCTTTGAACTGCTACTTCCCTGCACAATCACAATTTGAAAAACTAAATGAGTTTATTAGTAGAATTCGTCGTGTTTTTCGCATTCTTTCTATTTAATGGGACAAAAACTTCATCTCTTGCCACCTATTACACGTCATTGATTTTCTCATCCAGCTAGTACTTAAAGATGCATTCACCATTTTCGGGTCCTTGATATTTGCTTATATTAACACACCGTGATAGTTCATAAACCAAGATTATTAGTAGAATTCGTCATGCTTTTCGCATTCTTTATATGCAACGGGACAAAAACTTCATCTCTTGCCACCTGTTACACGTCATTGATTTTCTCATCCAGCCAGTACTTAAAGATGCATTCACCAGTTAAGGCAGTTATAAAAAGGGTTGGCCCAAACTCGATCTTACTCCTTGAAAGGGGGGCTCGGCTCGAGCTGCGATTAGTATATATTCATCCCACTATATATTTATCTTTATCAAAATATAAAAATTTTGAAAAATTACTATGTTCATTAATATCACATTCCAATTTTATCCTTTAAATTAATTCATTTAAACACTCTATTATTTCTATATTTCTAATCAGGTTACTATTTTATATCTCTAACCCTTTCATTTTATTTTTTTACAAAATTCTCTCTAATCATTACAAACCTTTAAAATATTACTTACTAATTCCTTTCGCTCTTTACCATCAGTTGTCTATTATTTTAATTTCTTTTATTATGTATAGTTCAAGATTTGTTAATTACTACTAAAAAAAAAAAAAATGCTAATTTCCTCTAAAATGTGAAGATGATATTTTATGATTAATAGAGTTTTTTAATTAAACACAAATTCTAAAAGAATATAAAAAGGTCCAAAAGAATTTGATTAAAATAAATATTAGTTGATGAATTTATAAATATATAATATAATTACCTTTTTAATCGTGAATATATATAACACTGTAGATATAAATAACTGCATCCTAAAAACAATGGATTGTGTTTTATATACATCACCACTTATAGATTAATTTCCTAATAAATGATGTGTCAAAATTTGATTGGATCAAAATCTCATGAATCAAATGAACAACACAAACTTCTCTACTCTCTTTTTAAAATCTCATCAATATGTAAAAAATTATGTAAATGGTGATGTGTAAGCATTTTCCTAAAACAACGTTCGTGCTAGATATGTAAATCTTTTACTGAGATTACTTGTAGTAAGTAGAAGATACAACCATAATTGCAAACCTTATGAATTAAAAAATGGGAAATTACAGTCGAAGTACCAAACCTTTCGTTTATTAACAGACTTTACCCAAACCTTTCATTTGTGCCACTGGAGGTACCAAACCTTTTAAAAATTCGTACCCGAAGTCCAAATGGATGGAAATTGTCTATTTGACCGTTAGTTGACCAATAAAATTAAACATTGACCAATTTTTGACCAATTGAAAATAGTAAAAAAGTAAAAGTTACTTAACCCTATAATAAAACAATTAAAATAAATAACTAAAACATAAAAAAAAAAAAAACTATTCATCTCTTTCTTCACCCACCCACCCCAAACCCAAAACAGCCGCTCGAACCACTACCCAAAACCATCATCATTCTTTGGCCACACCACTGCGCAAACCACCGCCCAAACCCAAAACAGCCGCCTGAGCCACTACCTAAAACCTGGAATCATTCAAGCACAGTTCACTGGACATGGCATTTTGCTCAATGGTGAATTGTGTAACATTTGAGAATTCTTTAAGCACTGATTCCAGAGTGTTCCTAGACGTCATCATTTTTCAACGTAAGCTACGAAAATCCATGGATTTTTCCAGTGTTAAAGAGAAGCTGTTGGTGATTAGCAAGAGCCACTACATGAGCATAGTCAAACTACTTGGCGTTTCAATTTTCGGTGAGCATATTTACCTAGTCTGTGATTTTGTATCCGGATCAGATTTGAGCTTGTGCTTGAGGAACCCTAGAAATCCCCATTTTACCGTGCTTTCGACATGGATGTCGCGTATGCAAATTGCCACGAATGTCGCACATGGTCTCGATTATATTTACAATACAGCTGGACTAAGCATTGATATGGTGCATAAATAGGTGAAAAGCAACGGTATAATTGTGATAGAGCCGTCCTATAATGCGAAGATATGCCATTTCGGTGCGACGGAGCTTTGCGGCAAGACGAGGGAGGAGGACCGGTCGCAGCTTCCGGAGTTGAAGTCGGAGAGGCAGTTTGAGGGTGTAAGAGGGTACATGTCGCTGGAGTTCAAGGCCACCGGGATCTTTGCCCAGAAGTTCGATGTTTAAGCATTTGGAGTTGTGATTCTTGAATTGCTAACTGGGCAGGAGTTGGAGACGTACAAGTTTGACAAGGACAGCAAGAATTATAAGCGACTGTCAATCATTGAGACAGCGAAGGAAACGGTGGAGGACGACGGTGGAGAAGGGGTGGAGATGAGATTGAGGAAGTGAATGTATTTTGTATAGTATAAACCTCCATATTTGTTTAGCTTTTTTGTGTTTGGGTTTGGGTTGATGGTGGGGTGGGGTGGGGTGGGGTGAGGTGCGGGTTTGGGTGGGGTGGGGTGGGGTGGGGTGGGGTGCGGAGGTTGAAAAAGAAGGTGACTGTTTAATTTCTGTTTTTGGTTTTGGAGGGGGTGGGGATAGGGTGGCATGCGGGTCGGGTGGGGTTCGGTTGGGGTGAGTGAAGAAGGAGATGAATAATATTTTTTTTTATTTTCTATGTTTTAATTATTTATTTTAATTGTTTTATTATAGGGTTAAGTAACTTTTACCTTTTTACTCTTTTTTATTGGTCAAAAATTGGTCAATGTTTAATTTTATTGGTCAACTAACGGTCAAATAGACGGTTTCCATCCATTTGGACTTCGGGTGCGAATTTTTGAAAGGTATGGTACCTCCGGTTGCACAAATGAAAGGTTTGAACAAAATCTGCTAATAAATGAAAGGTTTGGTACCTCGGCTGCAATTTTCCCTTACAAAATTTAAAATTACAAATAGTAAATTTACATATGTAAATACTAAAGATGACATTCTCGGCCCAACATGAATTGCAGGACATAACTAAATACACTTGCTAGTACAAATTATACACAAATTAGTATGGAATCATTCAATCAAAATAAGCAAGTTGGTGGATCAATTCTTCAATTTGGGGACTTTAAATGAGGACGTAAACAATTTGGGAGTATCTGGGATGGTGATCACATCAGCTTTTCTCTTTGAACTGCTACTTCCCTGCACAATCACAATTTGAAAAACTAAATGAGTTTATTAGTAGAATTCGTCATGTTTTTCGCATTCTTTCTATGTAACGGGACAAAAACTTCATCTCTTGCCACCTATTACACTCATTGATTTTCTCATCCAGCTAGTACTTAAAGATGCATTCACCATTTTCGGGTCCTTGATATTTGCTTATATTAACACACCGTGATACCGTGATAGTTCATATATCAAGATTAGATTGCAAGTTCAAGGTGTACGAGCTAATGCAGATCTAGATGGACACAAGCAGGGACTAAAGAGGGGAGAGATGTAGACAAGAAAAACAATCAAGCCTAATTCCATAAATCTCAATAATTTATTAGAATTGGAAAATGCACGAGTTTGTAAGTAGAAAAATTAGAGATGAGGGAGGGGATGGAACCTTAATAGCAAGTTGCTTCTTTGGAGCTTTTCCTCCAGTTGACTTGCGAGCAGTTGGCTTCGAAGGTGCTAACTACAGATTTCCCAAATTCAGAAATACGTTTAAAAAAAAAATAAAATTATAAAATGTTAAAGAAAATGCAGTTCCAGAAACAAATTAGATTTCCCAAAAAAGATGCATGAAATTTATAGAATCACAGAAACCACCCAAATTAGGGCCATAAATACAAGTATACATGTTTACTAAGAGAAGTTGACTTGTGGCTCTTTTCGAATTCTGAAATAGATTGTGAAAATCATAACTAAAATTTTGCCTGGTCAGAAATGGAGATTGATGACCGGAGACTCCTGCGATGTGATTCATTCAATAATAGGGAGCCAAGAAATTTCAAGAAATAGCATATACTAGAAGAGGCATCGAATATTCATCCTAGAATAAAAGACGACAAGATTATTAAGCAAATGATATGTCTAGGCTATACAAATCCATTTATTCAAAGCATCAAAGAGAAAAGAAAAGGAAAAAAATAAGATCAAAAAGGGGAGAAGAAGATACTGAAGGAATAAAAGAAAAGGGTTCTAGACTACAAAAAGGAGAACATTTTGCCCATGTTAAAAAGGAAAGGGTAGGATGGAATCCAGCAAGTGTTTCTGCGTGCCAAAAATAAAACTAGTACACACATCAGACGACCATGTCTATGCTAAACTCGTTAAAGCCTTAACCGATACTTTTTTGGAACAGATTATGCCTTTGTTTGGTGTAGATTAAAGTCAGATTTTATCAAATTTTGATAAAAGTTGATGAAATGTGTAATTGAAAAGTTGTGAGTCCATGAAATTTATGGTCAAAATTAATTGTTGGCTTTGACTTGGGATTAAAATCAGATTTTAATCTATACCAAAAAGGGGCTAAAATAAATTTTGTCCTTTCACTCTAGTCTATCAAGATTCGAAATCATATAACAATAGTAGACAAATACTGTGAAACCTTCTGAGAGATTACAAGATCTCAAACATAGACACCGTCACATTATAAGCATACATAAAGCTTACTAGAAAGATCTTGCAAGCTCTAGCTCTTATAAGTAAATCCCCTTCTGACAATTATTTGCTTTTGAAAAATAAAGATATCTAGATGTGCGCACACTCTGTTAGCTATGAGGTTGAGTCTCAGACAATGAACTTCACCATTTCAAACTTTTGAAGAACACGATATTTTGAACCTCAATATATTATATGATCTGACGCATTGGCATATGCAGCAACAAGCGATTCTGCATTAGTACCAAGTCATATTATTCCCTCACTAGGCCATCAACACATCTGAGGACCACTAATACCAGGACAATTTCTGAAATCTCACTAACTTCCTAATATGATCATCTACTTAACTGTAAGCTAAGCTATATTAACACTATTGAATTGAACAAATTAAAATGCCACGTGCCTGGATAAGAAAGTTAAAATTAAAATTAGCCCTTGTAAAATTAGGATGGTAACAATCACAGATAAAAATGCATGCTAAAGCATCAATAAGAGGTAACCTTTTCAAGGGTTTGTGAAGAATATAATTCTTTTTTCACCGTTATAGCCCTTCCTTCCATGCTACTGTTCTTCAACGTCCCTGTTTCCTCCCTGCAGCGCCGTAATGCCGGCGTTGCAGACCCTGATCTGGACTTTATGAGTTCTATTTCTTTCGAAAGTCTAGAAATTTCTTCACTCTTCTTGTTCGAGTCAGATTCCAACATGGCAAGGTCAGTTCTTAACTTTTCATTAGAAAACTGTAATTCCTCCATTTTGCTCCCAAGTGCTTTTATTTTCCCATTTGAATATTCAACTTCGGCACATTTTCTCCTCAACTGATCTGTGAAATCAGTCTCCATTGTTTTGTACTGGTTCCATATAAAATTCTTCTCTGCCAATAGAGCAGAAACCTCCGAGTCCTTTTCCGAATTACATTTCTCGATTTCACCTCTCAGCCTCCTCATTTCATTTTGCAATGCCATATTTCCACGGACTTCTCTTGCAGTACTAGCACCATCTGATATAGCCTGCAAATTATATTATTCACTTCAAAAACCGCGTAAACTGGAAAATAAAGAGATACATCAATTGTCAACAATATAGGACTGATTACTGAACATGCCTTTGGCTCAGCACATTTCTCAGAAAGGTAGTCAAACCATTCTCTGAAGTCTGATAATTCAGTGTCGGTATCTTCTGCATTTCAAAGACAAAAGTGAAAAATGTAATTTCAGCAGCAATGCCCGGACTCTTCCAAAAAAAAAAAAAAAAAAAATTCAAGAATAAAGGAACTTCTGGATATTTCAATTAAATATTCCAATTCTTTCAACACGTTTCCAAAAATTTCAACAGAACCTTATGAATTTATCGGAAAAATTAAAAAGGAAAAAACATACTAAAATATTTTTACAGGGAAAAGGAGACATGTAACTAACCATATTTATGCTTGAAAATAAAAGCCTCCCTCTCTTTCAAACCCATCATCAATTCCGCTTTCACCGACTCCACCTTCTGCTCTATCTTCATCTGCTCCCAAAATACCCAAATTATCCCTTTTATCGAACCCTAAATTAAATCCCACGAGAAAAGATTAACTTTGACAAGAAAACTAGTTTTACCTGGAAGATTAGATCGTGCAAAAATTTAACTCGATCTTCAAGAATTTCTCTTTCTTTTTGTAGATTCTGCGACATTTTCACTAAAGCATTGAAAACTTTATCCCATTTTCTTTCGCGGTCGGAAGATTCGTTGGAAGATATACGTTTCCCCATTGCAAAAACTGGATAAAACAGAGAAAAAATGTGCGGAGAAAAGAGTACAGTAGGAATTTTTGGGGTTTTCAGAGAGCAGTGAGAGAGGAGGGCGGAGGGAGAAAGAAGTCTCAACGGTCGAATTTTTCGATGTGCTTTAGTAGTGCTCTGTGGACTGAAACTGGTTCCAATGTGCGTGCCTTTTTAAATAACTAATTGGAGTCGTGTAGAATTATTTTATTTTTTTATCAGTTAAAAATTGGGATAATTTCAACGCATGTCCTGAACTTTTAAAAAACGTGCAGATTGCATACAAACCTTTAAGTCTTAGCAATGGAAATCTAAACCTTTCAAAATTGCGTGACGAAAGGACCTCTGGATGATTCTGTTAAAAATTCGTTAATTGACCAAAAATAAGCATTTGATGATAAATGGACCAATTTAGAAAAGGCAAATGATTATTTAACCTTTAATTAATTAAAAAGGAAAATTTGCATCAGAAGTTCTAAACCATTCAAAACTGTGTAGAAAAGGTCCCAAACCTTTACTAAATGTGGGTCCAAATGACCTCTAATAATTTCCATCCAAATATCTGTCAATTGACCAAAAATATTCAACTTTTCCGATCACCAATTGCAACCCCTAACCCACAAGCTCTTTTTAGGTTCTCAAGATTTTCAATGGGGTGTTCAGATTGAAAATGGCTACAAACTTGAGAGGAAACCAAACTTATATTCATGTATTCTCTCTATCTTGTGGAGTAATGATATTTTACATTTTTACAACTTCTATTTAGACGCGTAAGGACGAAGCGTTCCATGACAATTTCAAAAGAAAATTACGAAAACTTGAAATACCGATATGTAGTATATCACTTTAGAAATCGTTTTGAAAAATAAGATATCTATTTATCCGTTGAATTAACACCTTTTTTGTTGTCATTCAACTGTTGAGATGTATCGTCTTCCTCATCATAATTTCATCAAGCGTTTGCTCTTGCACATGTTTGGTACAATTGTTGAAATGCTCCATTAACTAGGTAAGTTTTTCCTCATTAGAGACTTAATAAACATGTACTTTGGCATCCAATAAGCTAAGCTTTTATAGCATTGTTTTTAATTAGTGCCTCTATCTGGTGATATGCACCTTCCATTATAAATGAAAGGGTAGCCATCTGAAGTTTATTTGACGTTAAAGTAAGTCCTTTGAAGTATCTTAAGCTTTTGTGGTAATTAAGATTTTGCTTGCATATTTGAGAAGTTTCTTGTTATTTTTTAGATACATCACCATAAATTAAATGTTTAGAATATAGTGTCGATGAATTGGACTGTCTTGCAAGGATATCCTTGACATGTGTACGGTGTCCAGCCATTTCTACCCGACGATCAAGTTATAAAAATCTCAGGATAGCCTCAACCCTTTAGCTTGTGTGCCTTACGAGCCGAGCCGTCCACAAATCGACTCTTTTTTTAAATAATTAACAAAATAAGTTCAAGAATGAGCATTTTTTAAAAACTAATAAAACAAGTCCAAAACTAAGAAAAAACTCGGCTCGTTGGCTTGTATGCAAGAGCTTAAATGAGCTGGTGCCTCGTGAAAAAATGTGAACTCAACTCGATCCATGGCTAGTTTCAAAACAAGCCAAGGGTTGAACCGAAACGAGCCAAGCCCAAGAGTGGTTGGCCCATTTGTCTCCCCTGTGTAACAGTATGATTGGTGGTATTTTATGTACTGGACCAATGGTGGTATTGGAATGAGTTCTTGAGGGTCAATTGGATGTCGCTCGTGTTACTACTACTACACCCCTTCCAGTACATTATGTTACGTGTTCGCACACTTGGGCAATCCACCAGGGCTCATAGACAACTCATGTCGAACCACATGGCACTCAAGTCGGGTGATTTGCATAGCCGAGCCCACAAAATCGAGGTCCACAGAAGCCTAGGCCCATATATACCGAGGCCCATCTATCATTGCCTCTTGAGGAGCTTCCGAAGCCCATATACCAAAGTCCTTTGAAGGTGGACGAGGCCCTGTTGGCCGAAACTCTGTAGCCAAGGTAGTAGCCTCCGAATCACAAAGCAACATCTTCCATAGACACTTCTCCCAAGAGATCCTCTGCATAAAGATTTTACTAGAATGATTGGTAGGACGTTTGTCATGAGTGTAAATATTAAGTCTTGTCACTAGTAGAGGCGGCTCCGCCAATCAATAAATGTATAGTAGGCTAGGTGCGCCTGATGCCTACAATTTGACATGTAAATTAATCGGATGAGGCCACGTGTACGCCGAACCAAAGGTCAAGATCTAACTTGTGACACTATAAATACTCTCTCATATACCCCATACAAAGGTTAATGCAAAAATCAATACAAAAAGTCACACTTTACTTTCTCTTTCTTATTATTTTGCAATACAATACGAATTTACGCACATTTACATACACATTTCTAAACATCGATTAGTAATTATTGTACAATCGGTCTACGATCATCTCGCCGGACTCCGAACGTTCTTGTCCCGTGTCGTTGAGCTACTCTCATGCCCTTGATTTGTCTGTTTTAGACCATCCACTTGTCTTTGCATGTTGGACTTTCGCTTATGTGTGCGCGGGTGGGTTCGGTATCTATTGGCAACATTTATTAGGGTCAACAAATTGACGTCATCTGTGGGAAGTCATACCATAACCACGAACAACCTTGTGGTGAAAGCTTATTAAAAAGGAGCATTTGGGCATCTCCCTTCAAAAAGGATTTGTTCTTGAAAAAGAACAAGAGGAAGCCTCACGACATAGCAAAAATCTGAAAGGTTAGACGCAAAGAAAATGAGTTTAAACGAAAATACACCCCCCATGAGGGTAAGAGAAAATGCTGATATGTCCCCTCCAACAGCTGCTCCAGTAGCTCGGCATAGACCCCACTACAACCACAGAAGAGGTGGAATACATGCGACGGCCCAGCCGTCAAGAGAAATGGCCGCCATGGTAGCTAATATGAAGGACATTGCTAGGCAAAACATGGCTATGAGGGAACTCATGGCCCAAATGCAGGGCCAGGGAAGCTTCCCTATTCCTCCATACGCCTCTCAAGGGCATTACCAGCAAGAAGATGAAGTTTAAAGTCGTAGGACTACCTCGTCGGACTATAGCTGAGGTAGAAGCCATTTGAAAGGGAAGTGGAAGTTGATGTTTCCTTCAACTACGCTTCTGGCCGACCCATCGAGATCCCTTTGAACCATGATAACTTCCCATCTCCGTACGAGCAAGAGCAAAGACATAGGAAGTCAGGTAGTGTATTTGACAGAATTAGCCCCGCTGAACCGAGGCTCAGGTAACAACAACATCACGAGCCTTGGACAAGGCCACCGCCTTCACCTCCAATGCCTCAACAGCCGGAAGGAAGGCATGAAAATGCCCCCATACTGCACCACCTAGAAATAGGCGCCAAAGGAGGGAGGAAGAGGCTATGGACCGTCCCGAAACCTCTCACCAACAACCAAGGTATGAGGTCGAAGAAAATAATTAAAATGAGCAACAGAGGTCCTGTGACTTGGACGATGATGATGAGAACCTGCCATTCTCAAGGGAACTAAGGAGCGCCCAGGTCCTGAACCACTATGTTATGCCAAAGATACCAAAGTATGACAAAAGAGATGACTCAGAGAAGCACCTGAATGCTTACAAAACTCACATGAGCTTAAGGGGCGCCATCCCAGCTGTGAAATGCGGAGCTTTTCACTTAACACTTAACGGAGCAGCTGAAATTTAGTATAGTAGGTTACTGTCTGGGAGCATAAGAAGTTGGCCCGAATTCAATATGACCTTCTTGAAGAGGTTCACTGTGAGCAAAGAGGGAGAGACCCTCATCCAACGTCTCCAAGAAATGAGGCAGGCACATGGAGAGTCCCTAAAGAGCTTCCTATCACGTTTCACCGATGAGATGACATATTGTGTGCAAGTCAATGACCGTGAGGCGTTATCTGCATTAAGAGAAGGTCTGAACATGAACACCCTGTTATGGAGGGACGTGCAAAATCAAGACCCCACCACCTATGATACCCTACTCGAGATGATGAGACGGGAGATCATCAATGAAGAATTGATTGAGCATAGGAATAGGGCAAGTAGAGGCCTCCCACCTCCTCAAAGGCAGCGTGCTAGAGGGCCGACCTCCCGCTTGTTGAACTACCAAATGAACCAAGTTGGTAATGAGAGTTTTGGGCAAGCACTTGCCACCACCACTCTTAATGACGTTCTTACATTGACATATGAGAATATCAACCCAGTCGCTGACACCCAGCAGAAGGGAACTCCGCAAGGATCCCGTAGGAGGAGAGGCCGAGGTCGGGGTTCGGTACCTAGAAATAGGTCAAATCAGAACCGACCTGGATGCTATGTATACCACTGATCCTATGGACACGACACAGTAGATTGTCGACACTACGCTTACCGCTCCCAACAGGAACCCCCTAGGGATAGAAATGAATCGCCCCAAGCGGACAGGCCCCCGCCTAGGTACGATAACTGACCTGGGTATGAAGAGGCTGCTCTACATCAAAGGAATGTTTCTCCGCGATGAAGGGAGCACGACATAGAGAGGCCCAGAGAAGGGCGCAGACATCGAAGAAACTGACAATCTCAGGATGAGGCCCCTATCCACGGGGTGGATACCATATTTGGAGGCCCGTATGTTGGCGATGAAACGAGAAACGCCAAAATGAATTATGCCCGTGAGGCCAAGCGCCCTCCGCTTATCGGCTATATTGTGGGCCACAGCTCCCGGAGGGATCAAGTTCCACATATTGTCTTCACCCAGGAGGACACTGAAGGGGTTCACTACCCCCACTGCGATGCACTTGTGGTAAGAGTAGTCATAGCCCGGAATGGGCTCAAATGAATGTTAGTGGACAATGGTAGCTCCGTCAACATTCTATTCGGATCTACCTTTGACAAGATGATACTGGACCATGAGTTAACATCCGCCACCACTCATTTGTACGGACTTACCGGAGATAGCATCACTCGGAGAGAAAAGATCACACTCACAGTAGAGATGGGGGAGTGTCCACAAACCACAATGAACTTCATGGAATTTCTCGTTGTCGATAGTCGATCGGCTTACGACGGAGTATTGGGTAGGCCAGCCCCAAAGGAATTGGGAGCCGTCACCTCCATCCACCACCTATGCATGAAATTCTCAAAAGGAAAATGGGGTGACAACGGTGAGAGCTAACCAAAGAGGCTCAAGAGAGTGTTATCTAAGCTCCATCATAAAGGTAGAGTCTTGGGACGTCCATGTAATTATCACCGACGTAGTCATGACTGATGTCCCAGATGATGCTCCCGTCAAATCGGAAGATGTCGAAATGATTGACGCACTACCCAATTGAGAAGTATTGGTCATCGACGAGATTGATACCTGCATAATTGAACACGAACCTCAAGCATACCCAGTTGAGGAATTTGAGAGCTTTTCGGTGGACCCCCGAGACCCATCCAAATTATTGAAGGTGGGCAAGGGCTTGTCCAGCACTTTGAAAGAAAAGCTCAAGGATTTTCTAAGTAGGAACCTTGATATCTTTGCTTGGAGGCATGAGGACATGGTAGGCATAGACCCCAAGGTTCGTTGCCACCACCTGAAAATTGATCCTAAGGTTGCCATGCATAGACAAAAAAGGAGAGCCCTCAATCCTGAAAGGTATGAGGCCCCTGAATGAAGAAGTTCAGAAGCTCATCCAAAATGGCTTCTTCAGGAAGGCCATCTATCTGAGGTGGGTCTCCAATCCAGTTTTAGTGAAGAAACACAATGGCAAGTGGAGGGTGTGCATCGATTTTACTAACATCAACAAAGTTTACCTGAAGGACAGCTTTCCACTTCCAAGGATTGTTCAACTGGTAGACTCCACGGCTGGGCACGAGTTATTGAGCTTCATGGACGTATACTCCGGCTACAACCAAATTCACATGCACCCGGTTGATGAGGAACACACATCTTTCATCACAGATCGAGGCCTTTACTGCTACAAGATGATGCCTTTCGAGTTGAAAAATGTGGAGCAACATACCAAAGGCTCGTCAACAAAATGTTCGTGGACCTCATCGACAAGACAATGGAGGTCTACGTAGACGACATGCTGGTAAAGAGTTTGGAAGCTGGGGACCACTTAACGCACCTTAACAGCACCTTCCAAATCTTGAGAAGATATAGGATGAGGCTCAACCCCTTGAAGTGCGCCTTCAGAGTGGCCTCCGGTAAATTCTTAGGATACATGGTCAACCAACGCGGTATCGAAGCCACCCTTGAGAAGATTGAGGCCCTATACAAGATGAGGTCTCCCCAAAAGTCAAAGGAGGTGCAAAGCTTGACTGGGCGAGTGGCCGCGCTTAGCCGCTTCGTCTCCAAAGCTACAGACAAATGCCTCTTAGTTTTCAAAGTGCTAAAAGCTGTGAAGAATTTCCAATAGAATGAGGAATGTGAAGAGGCCTTCCAGGGCCTGAAAAGGCACCTAGGGCAGGCCCCCTCTTCTCCAAACCGAAGCCCGGTGGAATTCTATAGTTGTATATGGCCGTCTCCAATGAGGCCATTAGTGCGGTTCTAATCCGAGAAGAGGGGACCACCCAACTCCCCGTATTCTATACAAGTAAAGCATTCCTTTCGTCGGAAACCCACTACCCTGATATGAAGAAGCTCTCTTTAGCTTTGATCATGGCCTCTAGAAAGTTGAGACCTTACTTCCAAACCCACACCATCCATGTGTTGACAAACTTTTTCCTAAGGCACGTACTCCAAAAGCCCGATGCCTCAGGAAGATTATTGAAATGGGCGGTGGAGCTAAGTGAATTTGACCTCATATTCAAGGAAAGGGCAGCCATCAAGGGCCAAGCCTTGGCTGACTTTGTGGCAGAATTCACCAATTTACCCGAGGTAGATGAAATCATGGAACAAGCCGAGCCACCTACGTGGAACTTATTCATTGATGAGTCGGCTGGGGACATCGAGTCAAGTGCCGGAGTTGTCCTCATCAACCCAAAAGGTCACAAGCTGAACTCAGCTGTGAGGTTCGGGTTTAAGGCCACCAACAATGTAGCA